CCCCAACATCCCTGTTTATCGCCCCAGCATCATCCTAGCACCCCTGTGTGCCACCCCAACATCCCTGGGGTCACCCCAGCATTTTTTGGGTACCACCCCAGACCCCCCGGCATCACTTGCGTGTCTCCCTGCCATCCCCCCGGCACCACCCAGGCTTTGCCATCCCCCAGTTTGGAGGGAAGCGGCTCCAGCAGCACAAAATGCCACTCCTGGGTGCTGCAGTACTTTGGCACGCCACCAGCTCTGGGGTTTGGCTCGGGATTTGCTCTCCCAGGTGGGTTTTCAGGATGGAACATCCCATCCCCTGGGCGCCGCTCGCCGTTCCTTATCAGCCGCTGCTCCGTCGCCGCTCCGATTGTCAAACACGAGAGATGCTTTCACTCCTATTCAAAATAATTTAAATAAAAATGTTGCTACAAAGTGGAATAATATCTTTTGATGAATGTTTTTAAAGCCCTTTAGGTTTTCATGGTAATTTGCAGTGTAAAATTATTTAGAGATAAGAGCCAAATTAGCTCTTATAGGCGGAGGTCGATATGTCCCGTTATCCATGGAAGCAGTGTTTAAATATAATCAGCCTTTACTCTAATGCAGCATAATTGTTCATTTGAAATAGCTTTTTTTTTTCTCTCTCTCTTTTTTTTTTTTTTTTTTTTTTTTACTCCATTCAATGAGTCATTAAAATATTCAAAGGATAATGCAGTGAATTGGAAATGAATTTATCACATTATCCTGTACATACTGTAGAGCATCAGGTAACCAGGCAGAGTCGGAACCGGTTTACAGCGAATCCCCGGTAAACAAGGTTTTCCATTTTGTATTCAGTGGGGAAAGAAAAAGAAGGGAGAAAATACTGCCCTTCAAATGGAAAGCTTTCCGTCTTTATTCCCCCTCCTCGGGGAGGAGGAAGGGGGAGGGCGAGAGCAGCGAATTTGTACTCCACTAAAGCCTTCGCCGCTTTAACTTTATTTTTATCAAAATATGTTTGTAACAGAAAGTCGTTATGGAAACGGGTTCTGCCAGCCGGGAGAAATCCTGCGCCAGGCTGGAACCGAGCGGGACCCGCCGGGCTCTGCTGCCACCGGTGGCGGATCAGCCACCAACCCCTTCCCAGGGCAGGGCGCTGGGGAAACTGAGGCACCGAGCATCCCCCGGCAGCCCCGGGCTGGGATTTGGGAAGAGCATCCAAGGATTTTGGAGCATCGCCCATCCCGCCTTTCCCACGCTGCGGGTGCAGCTCCAACCCCTCCCGTGGCTCTGCAGGGCGGAGTGGGGACCCCACTGGGGTGGATGTCGGCCAAGGGATGGTGGCACCGCTGTCCCCAGAGGTGCTGGCCTTGCCCACCGTGTCTTCCTCACCGGTGGCCCGCGTTTGTCACCGCTCGCGGCGGCGTCGCCGTTGATAAACAGGCTCCGGGTTGCGAGTGTCACCATAGAAACAGGTGCTGTCTTAAGCAAACAAGGGCTTTATTAACCTCAAAAATTATGGGGTTTTCGTACAAGGGAGGGGTGGAAGTGGAGCTGCTGGGGACGGGCTGCTCGGCCCGTGCCTTGTCCCTGTCCCCATCCCAAAGGGACGTGCGTGCTCTGCAGGAAACTTTTCCTCTGCAGCACGTGGAACGAGGCTCCAGCTTATCCAGAACGCTTGGATTCATCAAAAATCAGAGATACCAGCTGGTAATTGCTGGCTGCTGCCGTTCCTGCTCCTTGGCTGGTGGGTGAAGAGTTGGGGACACTTTTTGCTGATCCAGGTGCATTCACCATCCCAGCAGGAGAAAAAAAGGTCAAGGAACGATTTTTAATCATTAATTGGTGCTAGGGGGGAAATAAATCAGCTTTTGGGTACCCTGCAGACAGGGGGGTCCCGCATTTTGGGAGCTGCTGGAGGTGCTGGGGCAGCTCTCCTTGCCTCCATGATTCCCGTGGATCCGTGGAATTGTGGCATCGCTGATTCCCCACCTCACTGTGGGGGGAGCAGGGGCAGATGTAGGAGTTGGTGCCCTGCTATTGTTCCTCCTCGCTGGAGCCCTCTCAACTCTGCTTTTTGGTGATGAAACCGAGGGATTGAAAGGGAAAGAACAGAGGGAAATGTTGGTTTAATTGATGACTTGGCTCCTCGGAATACTCAGTTCCCTGGTGTGAGTTTCTGTCGCTGCTTGTTAATGAAGCCTTTATTAATAAAAGAAATAAAAAAAAAAAAAAAAAAAAAAAAAAAAAAAAAAAAGAAAGAAAGAAAGAAAAAGAAAAAAAAAAAAACAAACCCAAAATAAGTAAAGAGGTTGCAGCTCAGGGGGAAGTTTTCTTTGCACTCCAAGCTCCTATGGAACGAATTCTTCCCTGTGAGGATGGTGAGGGGCTGGGATGGAATTCCCAGAGAAGTTGTGGCTGCTCCTGGATCCCTGCAAGTGTCCGAGGCCAGGCTGGACAGGGCTTGGAGCAATCTGGGACAGTGGAAGATGTCCCTACCCATGGAA